AAGGATGTAGTTAAAGCTATATGTAGTTAAAGCTTCACCAAGAAGCAGCAAAATAAATTTTGAGAATGTTAGCATCAAAAACCCCCAACCATTTCAAAAGCAGTAGAAATTAATTACTACAAAATGTGTAAAGTTTTGAATACCCAGTCATTCAGCCCCTTTCATTAGCACAAATGAAAATGTGAAGGTTTACTTTGTCATTCCATTAATATGCAGTTTGGGTAAATTCTCTTGGTTTTTTCTGTGGAAATACCAGCCTGACCTTCAAAAATATTTATGACGGTTTATTCTGGTAAGCTAGTTTGTGTAAGTGCTGGAAGCACACAGGATTTTTCCCCTGTTTAGTTGGTAACTCCAGAATGGACCACCAGTTCCAAAGGAAGATGATCAAGAGCTAGTTAAGGTAACATGTCTCATTTACAGGTCACTGCAACTAAAATTCTTCATTAACTGTAATTTCTGTGTTGCAAATGTTACAAGGCTGCCTTACATATCACTATATTTGTGCTTTTCATGAAGACTTCTAAGAATTAAGAGTACAAGAAAATTTCAACTTTTATTAAAAAGCACTGCTGGTGCAAAAGGTTTGACACCAATTGGAACCATTTTACTGCAGAAAAAACTAAAAGAAGTTTAATACATTATTTAAAACCTTCTACAATTTTGAACCTAATATATTTAATTTTTATGGACTTAATTCAAAAACTTTGGACTCTTGGGCTTTTGCAGTGAGCATTTTTATATTTTGATAATTAAAATGTTATCGCTCTGTGACTAGAAGATGTGTTCAGCAGACTTTGAAGGATATTATTTACATATGATTTGGCTTTGATAGTCTTATTTTTTTGAGTAACATTTTACTCACAAGTAGTTCAATTGGCTTCTATGAGTATTATTCAATATGATAATGTGAGGAGAGGTAGAAAATCTGTCCCCAAGGTTAGTGTAAGACAAGCTATAGTTACTGAAGGTAGATTAATGATTTCTGGTTTGAAAAAAGTGTTTTGTTCTGTTTTATACATCCATCACTAAAGCCCACATGAAAACATTTTGCATTTTGGTATTTCTGTTGCAGAGGTTCAAAGTTAAAGGAATTACTGAAATGTTTATTTATTGTTAATTTTCCCAGGTTTAGAGTTATGTTAGAGGATGTGTCAACTGTAATCATCAAACCCTTAACACATGTTACCTTTTTATTCTCCCTCTTTTTGCATTGTTTCTATCAGGGTTTTGGCATTGGTTTTCTTGTGTTCATAATCCTCTAAATCAGCCTTAGTTTGAAGTTGTTTTTCTTGATTGTTTTGGGGATCTTCAGGAAAAGGATGTTAATTTAAAACAAATCAAAGAACAAATTGCAATGTTTAGTTTCATTTTTTAGTCCAGGTTTTGTTAGAAGTCTGAAAACAAAGGGCAGTGCCATGGCATGAGTGGAGGGACCAAGAGCACTGCAGTCCAGTCCTCCCATAACTTCATCAGATGACAGAGGGTTTTAGCACACCAAAGCCAAGTGACTTCTGCAGACCACCCCACGTGCAGGACTTTCTCCAGGTGATGCTCCTGCATGTCACCCACGAGGAGCAGTGGCACCACCCTGTGCCAATGGCTTTGCCCAGTCTCATCCCTGGGCACCAAGCACCACTTTCTTTCCAGGGCCTGTAAACACCTTAGTTCAGTTCTGAGTGCTTCCTTATCCCTTTAACCCGTTCCATCTAACAAACATGCATGGCTCATCTCCCTGGGCTCCACCTCTGCCTCACAAACCAAACCCCTGGCAGCTGGCCCCGAGCCAGCTTTGCCTGTGCTGTGCCACACAAGAGCAGCAGCAATGACAGAGGCTTCTCTCATCCCAGACTGTCAAAATGCTCTTTAAAGTCATCTAAGTTCAACTGTAAAGTGTCTGTGGAGTGAGACTGTGGCATTTTCAAGAATCCACGCTGATCTGAAGGTGGCCTGCTCAGCTCCACACAAGGATGAAGGCAGAGATGTGTTGCTAAACAGAGACTATTTTGCAACAGAACAGGACAAGTCTTCCAACAAAATGGGATGCACATTGGAAGGTATGTGAAGATGCAAGACTAGAAAGAGGCCCAGGAGTGTTCATAAACAATGGACCTATCCTGAGCAACCCAAAGTCGGGATACACATGAGATATCCCAGCTGCTAATACAGACTCCAAGGAAACAAAGGGCACCCTGGGCTCGTTTTGCCTCCTCTGTCCTTTGGTTCACCAGGAGGGAAGTGAAGGGACGGTGGGACTCCAGTGGTTCAGATCCAAGTGGTGTAAGTGACACCTGCTGGCACCTGCCTGGGCAGCCAGAGCACAGCCTCCTCCTTGCTGCAGGAGCAGGGATGGCACGGGCCACACTGAGCCTCCACAGAGCCCCAGCTCCATCGAGTCATAGAATATACCCTGAGCTGGAAGGGACCAACAGGGATCACCACAGTCCAGCTCCTGGCTTGGGAACGTTACCTGGTTAGATCCAACTAGGGCTGCCCAGATAGGGAAAACTTCTGACTCCATCCCTTCACCCTGATCCCCCATTACTGCATTCAGCGGAGGCTCCACGGATTTGTTTTAGACATTTCATGGCCCCAAGTGCCCTGCAGGTTATTAATTCATTGGGGTACACTGGGAGGCACTAAAAACTGTTGTTGCTGAAGACTGGGCACCTCCACTGTAGATGTTTGGGGTGATTTCTTTGGCTCAGCTCTTCTCTGGAGTGAGGACCCATTAGCAGCTGGAAGGTGTTGGAAGTGGGGGCTTGAACCACATCATCTTCCAATCCTGTTTCAGCTGCAAGGACACCAGGCTGAGCCTCCTGTGACCCCTGTGCAACTGAGGCAACCGGGACCTTTGCATCCAGAGAGCAACCTCGATCCAAAAACCACCCTGAATGGGGACAGACCCATTAGTCACCAAGTCTGACCTGAGCCAAGACTGCAAAGTTTGTCTGTGCTGGAGCAGGTATTTTAGAAGGTCTAAGTGGGAAAGACCATTCCTCAGGTAAACAGTTTTAATGCTGGAATATTAGATATGGCTGTAAGTCAGGTTCTCTCATGCTGTGGGAAATTCCAGCATTTTAAAGTATTTGTCTCCATGGAGAATTAATGTAATTTTAAAATGACAGCAAACAATATATACTGCAGTATACAGACACTGTGATTGACAGTGGAGATAGTGATTCCTAGTTTGTATTTTAAAACTGGTTTTGCAACTGATTCTTTTTTTAACTAGTCTTACAGATCATCAGGAACAGCTGACAGCAAACAATATATACTGCAGTGTACAGACACTGTGATTGACAGTGGAGATAGTGATTCCTAGTTTGTATTTTAAAATCATTACGGTCATCTAAATTTCATGGCACATGAAATATTTCACACTTTTGGCAGCATGAAGATTCTCTGCTATGTTATAACAAAAGGATTTTCCATTAATTTAGTACTCAGTACTATGTAGCAAATGTACTTAACAGTTTGAAAATTAAAATTAAAATAGATTTAAACGATTTTTCATGCTATAATGTGATAGTAGTAGAATAATATAAAATGAAAATGCATAAATTAAGATCAGAAAATACATTTCAGAACAATTTTGTAAAACAAACTGTTTCAAAATATACTGCTCTAAAGATTTCTGTAAGCGAATAGATATTTTTCTGTCAAAAGCCCAAACACTTCCATCCAAAGAAGTTTTTTTTCAACAAGAAGCTGTTTTAAAAATGTCTTGTCTACTCTACTAATTACCTTCACTGTGACAAAATCAGGCCTTATATTAATACCTATATTTAATTAAATTAATTATGAATTAGTTAGCTTTACCTTCTAGTGCTAAATCCTGTTATGCCTTTGTTAATAAATTAAAGAACCTTCCATCCTCTGAAAGTGTCTCTCCTAACTCATAGGTTGTTTATGAAGTTCTCATCTGAATAATTTCCAGTTCTTTGGTGTTTTTTATTGAAAATGTAGACACCAGAAGTGGACACAGTTTGAGTCTGTTATGATCTTGAGATGCCAAGACCACCCTCATTCTGCTAGGTAACGTTTCTTGCTGAGAGATGCAGAAATGGCATAGCTCTGATAGAGCAGATTACACCAAACATCCATGCTTAGTTTTTGTTATCTGTCACACCTCCTCCATCCTCCTCAGAGCCACTGCTTCCCATGACAGCAGCCTGTGACCTTCATTTTCTGTTCTGAGATATATAGGCTTGCATTTGGCTATATTAAAATCACATATTGTTCAAATGAGCGGAGCCTGCCAAGCGATCCAGATTGCTCAGTATAACTGACCTACTCCCATCATTATTTATCACTCCACCAATTTTTATGTCAAGTTGAAATCATTACCTGCATTGATTTTGTATTTTCTTCTGAGTCACCACAAAGATATTGCATGGTATGGACCAAGAACTGATCTCTAGACAACACACCTTCAAAATTTCTCTGGCAGTGGATGATTCCCCAGTGAATTTGTCAGAACCACTAATTAGTCAGCTTTTAATTCATTTAACACGTGTAATTCCGTTTCCACCTCAAGCTAATTTTTCACCAAGGAAGTGACGGAGTGCCAAGCGAGGTGCTGGCGCGGCACCCAACCGCGCTGTGCCCGCGGCTGCCCCCGCAGCGCTCTCCTCCCTCCCGCCAAGGCACTGTCCAAATGAGGTTCCCCAGGGAGCGCCCCTCCCCGGGATCGCTGGGGGTGGATCGGGCGCTGCGCACCCCCGGCAGCGGCGGCGGCGCGGCCCGGGAGCCGCGGGTCCCCGCGCTGCGAGCGCTGCGCGGCCGGCGGCGGAGCTGCCGCCGGTAATTAGCGGCATTAGCGGAAGGAAAGTTGCCTGCTCTGATCTCCCGTCCCGAGGCCACAAGGTCCCCGGGCGTCCCCATCCCTCCCCAGCCCTTCCCTTTCCTTTCCGCACTGCTCTATCGCAGGCCGGCGCGGCCGCCCCCTTCTCCCCTTCCCTCCCCGCCAGCCGGGGGAGGCTCCCGCTTGTATTTACCAGCAAATGATTAATTGTTGCTCGGCGCTGGCTGCTAATGCTGCTAATCCGGGCGGCTGCGTGTTCGGCCGCCCGCCCGGTGCCAGGCCCCGCGGGCGGAGGGCGCAGCGCCGCGGCGGGCGGGGGCCGGGCTGCGCCCCCGCCTGTAATTACTGCCCAGACAAATCTCTGCCAACCCAGGAGCGGGGAAATCTCTGCCCATATTGCAAGGGGCTCCGGCCCCCACCCGCGGAATAATTTTGAGACTCAAATCCCAGCAAAGACCTGCTACAAATTGCTGCAAATTAAGCTGATTTTGCCCCGAATGAGGGATTTTCTGCTGCAGATCAGCCCTTCCCGGAGCTGATGAGGTGGGGATTAGAGAAGGGACTGAAATCAAAGGGACAGGATGGTGCGGGAGGGGGGAGCCCGAGAGGGGAGCCCAGCAGTGAAAGTCCTGGAGCATTAACACTTATTGATTTCTACTTTGCTGACATTTTATTCTATTACCAAGTTTACGATTAGCCTAAACTAGGATCCGTGACAGCCAGGGCAGGGTGCGGAGCCCCGAGGGATGAGGGGCTCTCACTTCTTGGGTTTGCACCCCACCAGCCCTGCAAGCATCTGCTCTGAGCAAATGCCACCTTCCAGGGCTGCCTGGCTCCTGGCACTGGAAGGGTTCTGATGTGAACTGAGTTTGCGACCCTGGGCAGGCTGCATTCTTTTTGCTCACCACGAAGATGCTGGTGATTTTGAGGAGAGGGAGTTTTCTCCAAATTCTATATCCTTATCAACCCCCAAATCTTTCCTATTACCTGTGGTGGGAATAGTCAGCTCACCCCCTTTTCAACATCCGTCTGTCCATCTCTCCATCCCTTCTTCTCTCCCTCTGCCTTCCCTCTGGATCCTCATTTCCATCTGTTTAAACAGCAACAGCAATGTCTGTTGCAGGTATTTCAAATTGCACCATTAAAGATTTTATGTTGTGGATGTTAAAATTAAAAAGATATATGTGCAAATAGTCACTATGAATTTAATCAACTTGATTTAATACTAATAGGAAACAGCAAATGGAATTTATGACTCAAAAAGAAGTGAATTTTTTAAATAAATACAAGTACTTTGTGAAAAACAGGAAAAAAAATCCCAATCTGAAGAGTTTATTAGAGTCTAATCCCCCAACAACTGAAACCGGGGCTGCCCACCCAATAATCCTGGCTGCCATTAAAATATTAAAGATAAATCTAATCGTCTCTTTATCCAAAATAAGCGACTTTTATGTGGAGAGAAAATGTCTAACCCTTTGGGAAGAGAATTACTCCTAATGCATCAAATGGAATTCAGTCAGGATGGCAAAACTAGGTTTAAAAGCAAATGAGATGGTAATAGAGATAAAGGCCAGTATAACAAATTAAAAATACTCATTTACACGAATTAAAATCACTCCTGAAAGCGTTCTGAGTAAGGAGGCCACTGGATGGTCTTGGCCCTTCTTGGTTTGCATGGGTTTAATGTGGCCTCTCAGGACACGAGGGAAGGCAGGATGTGGTGCTGAGTGTCTGTGGGGAAGAAGATCTGTTCCTGACCGTTCCTGACCCCACCTCTCTGAGGCAGTTTTTCCCCATATCCTACAGTGGCCCCAAACCCATGCACAGAAGAAGTTTTTTGTCCGTGGGAACACTGTTGAGGATGAAAGTCCCCAGGAAGCTCACCCAGATGGGGCAAAATCACCTCTGGGACCTGGAAAATGATCTTGCTCCATGCCAGGAGGAGCTGCACCTGAGTGGTGTGTAAGAACAGAACCCCGTGCAGAGGTCTGGGAGCTGGGAACTTCCTCTCCTTTCCTGCCACCTGAGAAGCTTAAAAGGAGTGGGAAAAGGCAGAGAGGAAACCTGTGGGCACTGCTGCCTTCCCAAGCCCTGTGCCTGGACAGACCCAGCATCCCAGCCACAGTGCCCCTGCCCTTCCCACAGCTTCACACCCTGAACATGGGAAACATCTTCCAGGCACAACCTGCTTTCTGGACCTGCAGGAGGGTCAGACTCCCATGGCAAGGACATGGATGTGGGCAAGGGCAGCACCACAGCTGCTGATGGGTGCTGGGGTGGGGGCTGCTGCAGCATCCTGCCTCCACACACATCCCCATGGGCACTGAAGAAGGTCTTAGCTGGTTCCACTACCTTGTTAAATCACTTTGAGATTGCCTGTGTGCCCCACTTTTGAAAACCCAAACCAATGTGAGGGTGCACTGGAGGAAAAATCCCACTGGAATGCTTCTTCCAAAACCCAGCCCAGGACACACTCACAGGCAAGGTGCCATTTGCAATGGGGAAATATAGCCTTGCTTATAGGCAAGCACGTGTGCCAAAACCGGGAAGACACCGAGATCCCTCACAACCAACTTCATGAAAGGCATCTGGTAAATCAATAGAACACACCTTTACCTGCTCAGACATCTCCTTCCATGCATGAAATGCAAACGTGGTGCCAAAGAGAGAAAGTGAAACAATGAAATTGGAAATGTCCTCACTGGCAATATGTGGCATGAGTAAGAACAGTTCTTTATAACATCAGAGTTTCAGGTTGCTTAGATTCCCTAGCATCATTTTGGGTTCACTTTGCAGTTTTAAGATTATTGATGCAATTTTATAGGGAAATTTTTTTTTGCTGTAGTTAATGATTAGGATTTGGAAAGCAAGAGTGCTTTCTTTGGGGAAAAAGCCGCTTGTCTTCCCAAATACTCAAACCAATCATGTGAGATGTGTGTAACCTGTCCTTAAACCTATGCAGTGAAGTTTCTCCAAGATAGGCATCCTATCCTAATGCCTGCCCTAAAGAGGATCAGCATCCTGTCCTGACACCTTCCTAACTGTTAAGGAGTTTCTCCTACTGCCTTGCTACAGACAGAGCCATCTGCTGTAGTGCTTCTGGTCTATCTGCTATGCTCAGTAGATATAGTGGACAATTTTGGAAGACCACCACTGCTACATTTTTTAGAATGTATTTGAAGACTTGTTGGCATCTCACTTCAGTCATCTTCTCTGTAGACCAAAGAAATGTATGCTTTCTAGATGTCTCATGGCTTTTCTGCTGTCCCTCACCAATCAGCCCAGATCTGTCCTGAAGCTCAGGATGCAGAGCAGGCAGAGCAGAGTGCAACCCGGGCCATGGACTGGCTAGAAAGCTGCTCTAGATACTTCATCTTGTATATTGTCCCCAGAACAGGTACTCACCCATGGAGAGAAGTTGAATCTAGTAATATTTTCCTATATATTTATTTTCCTTAAAGATTCCATACCTTGTAATAAAACTAGATCTCCCTGGGATTTGCCCCCTGACACAAACACATACTTTTCTTTAAAAAAGGCAGAGTATTTTATTATCTGATGATGGAAAGAACATGAAATTGATTCCCAAATTTCCTCTTTCTCACAAACTAAGAAAAGGGAACACCTAATATAGTTAAATGAAAATGCATCAGACAAACCCCTTTGATACAACGTATAATTAACCTGAAGTATTCATGTGCCAAAGCATTATTTAGAAGTGAGCAGGACATCCTCAGCCAAAAATTATACTATAATTAATTATTATAATTAAATGGTAATGAGGTGGCCAGCATTCATGGTGAATCAAGTAAATCTTTATATACATTTATGGCAGCTTCATTTAGGATGTCCCAGTCAAACATTGTTACTTTCTTATGCCACACTTTAGCTGACTTTAAAATGATATCTGCTGAACAGATTTTAGTCCACACAGTCCATGTCTTCCTGCTGTGTTACTTTCTAACAAATCAACATGGAACTCTTTAAACTGGTTGAACAAAAATAAGTTCAGTTGCTCCAGGAGAATTAAATCATGTCTACATATGGCTCTAGCTTGCTATAAAAATAATTTATAGTAAGCTTCTTTAAAATGGAGATATAAACATTTATCCATTGAATAATATTCTCTTCTGTTTCAGGAGTTGGAAAAGAGTGGCAATAAACCTCTGGAGCTGCCCCATCCAGCAGTGCCCAGAGAGAGGAAGTGAACCAGATGTGATGGGACTCTGACATGCAGCACCCACTCCGGACTGGCCCAAAGGGTTACATTCTTCTCCTCTGATTTCCAGGCAACTGGAAGTTACTGATATATTCAGCTAACAGAAAGCCTTGATATCCATCCCTTAACTGCTCAGCAGCCCCATGCAGAAAAGGTTTTGTTTAACCCCTTGTCATAAGCAGAGCAGAGCCAGCCAACACCTCAAGCTGAAGGTGCCAGAGGACAGGTATCCTGAGTGGCTCTGACCTTGCTACAGGAAAGTGCAGGACAGAGGAACTGCCTGTGGTGCAGCATGGCTGAGTCCTAGCAGCTGGATGTTCCACGTGGCATGAATGGAGGTGCTCAGCCACAGAGAAAATACAAGAAATATGGATGCATCTGTGTCAGGAGAGAAAGAGAGGTATAATGGGAAAAAAAGGAAAATGTCAGAAGTGCTAAGCAAAGTGAAATCTGAGCTCTGTTAAATGTCAGTGACCAAGGTCCTGCTGTCTTCAGCAGGATGAAGATTTTACCCAGGGGTTGAGAGGTGCAGCTCAAAACTACCAGGATGATTCAGAGAGGTCTGCTCAGGGCTGCAGTAACTCAGCCAGCAGCTGCCAGCTGGGAGCATTTGGCCATGGGCATGACAGGTGCCATAATCTCCTGTCATCATGTACTTTGTATCTTTGATTATTTAGAGATCGATAGACTGACATGTAAAGAAAAATATATGTTCAATAGGACACTTGACATCAGAAGCTTCTTATATGGGAAGGCTTTTCTATAGAGAGAACATCCCTATCAGACACTATGAGCTCCATGGAATTCAAGATTTTAGGGCCTGAAGGGAACATTACAACCTTCTAGCCTGAACTTTGAGATAAAATAGACTACAAAACCAAATAATTTCTGCATCAGGCCAATATCTTCTGGATGAGTTATAGATCATCTCTTACAAACTTCCAGCCTTGGTTTGAAGACTTTATATGATCGACAGAATTTAAAACATCTGTAGGTAGATAGCTCTGGTCAGTCTTCGTGTCTCAGCCGTTCTGATTAATACAGCAAGTGTCTCTTCTTGTAATATTAGCATTATCATGTCTTATATCCATCTACAGTGCAACATATGGTGGAAGGATAATGTAAAAATGTCCAGTGATTGTGACTTCAGTGGATCACCAGTGCTCCCCAAAGTTTAAGAACATAGCTAAAATAAAAACATATTAGGAAAGACTTTTATTGAAAGTATTTTTACATATGTAAGTTTTGAAAGGAGACAGGTAGGAGCTGCATGCACTTGCACTGCAGAGGAGACCAGGATAACTGATGGGAAGAACCCAAAAGCCATTGTAGAGGAGATGGAAGAGCCCAGGGAGAGCAGGTCTGACCTATCTGTTTGAATCATCAGAGATCACACAATGTTTTGGGTCAAAAAGGACCTTAAATATCATGTAGTTCTAACCCCTCTGCCATGAGTAGGGATGTCACCCACTAGATCAGGTTGCTTTAAGCCCCATCCAGCCTGGCCTTGGACACTTCCAAGGGTGGGGCATCCACAACTTTTCTGAGCGACCTGTTCAGTGCCTCACTACTCCCTGAGTAAAGAATTTCTTCCTAACATCTTACCTAAATCTCTCCTTATTCCATTTAAAACTGTTCCCCCTTGTCCTCTCCCTGTCCACCCATGTAAAAAGTTGCCCTCCATATTTTTTAAGGCACTTTTGTCCACTGGGATCTGTCTAGACAAGGACAGCTTTGAACCCAGTGCTGGCAGAGACAACAAAGAGCGCGCTTCTGTAATAGAAATGGAGAAGTAACACTTCTTTAGAGACTAAGGGGTTAACAACAAACATTGCTCCTACTGGGATTCAAGTTTTCCAGGACACAGAAGGCTGAAGTAAAGCTAAAACTGAGGAAAGAACCAAGTCAGCCCAATACGTGTGCCTGGGTGAAGGATAGATTTGCAAACAAATGGGAGAAGTGGAAAAGTTCAGCCCCAAGGATAAGACAGATGAACTATGGAAAAGGAAAAAGGATGAGCTGGATCAGAAAAATGTGAGAGAATTCAAGGTTTGTAATGTTTCTCTCCCCAGGAAACCATCTGAGTCATGTAGCTGAGGAAAGCTTACATAAAGCCAGAATTTTTTCTGGTGAAGACAGGGTAAAAATATTGCCAGAAATTAGTTAGAGAGGTATTGAGTAATACAAGTAAATGCTGATATATAAGAAACTTCAGTATACATGAGCAAAGCCCCTATGTCTGTACCTTTATATCCTGACAGTGGTCAGAGCATTAACTTTGTATGAATTATTTCTAATCACCCGTCAAGGAGGCTAAAAATGATAAAGGTGACACATGCTGTAGAGTGGACCTCAGGCTGATAAACTCTGTTGGGCTTGTCAAATTGGCCTTTGTGTATAGCTTGAGCTGGAGCACCCAAATGACCCACACCCTGTCCTTGGGCAGGGATGCAGAGCTGGGTCTGAAGGAAAAGGAGAAATTGTGGTGCACAAAGAGCTGTCAGAACATGGGCTCAAGTTGAGAAGCAGCCCCCATGCACACCCACACCCTCTGTGAGCTCTGGGCAGTTCTTTAGGCAGAAGAACAGTGTGCACCTCCTCACACTGATGCTGGTACCAAACAAAGGCAGTTACAACATTTCAGAGGGCTTAAGACCTTCAGAGCCATTTGGCTCCCAGCTTCCTGTGTCTTAGAAAGCAGCTGGCCACCCCAGGGCCCTGGCAGTCTTCATTCACTTCTTCTGAACCATTTCCATCTCTGTGGAGATACGAGTTTCTTTAAAATAATGGTTGGGAGTATGACCACCTTGCTGCTCCAACATGAGACAGTCTCAGCAGTCCTGCCATCACAGTGGAGGTGCCCTTGGTTTGCTCAGGGAAGGCATGATTTTCAGTATCTGCAGCAGCCCCAATTCTTTGGCTGGCCAAGACTCTAAATCAGGATTTCCCAAGTATGCAGGACATGGCCTTTGGGCAGTCCAGAACACTTGTGGCCATCCTGGACAGATACCACATATTTCAGAGACGGTCCCTGCCCTTGTTTCACCATGCACCTGGCACTGGACTGCCTTCTCCAGAGACCAGGAGGACAGGTTTCCCCTGGGACGGGTTCCCCTTCATGGGAAGACTGGAGCCCTTTAGCCTGATGAACCACCCCAGAGGCCTGCAAAATGGAGAAGAGAAGCAATAGGGAGCTGCTTCTCCTTGAAGCTGAGGCAGAAGATGGGTTTTTCATGCTGATGTGGAGCTGCAGCCCAGCCCCAGTTTGGTGTCCTGCTGGTTAGTGTCCCCATGAGCAGGCTGTAGGAGCTGTGCTGCGGGCTGTTGAGCGCTGTCGCAGGACATGCGCTGGTGGAGCGCTTGCCTCGGCTTGAGAGAACAGGGGAAGTCTTATGGTTTCTCTTAGTTTAGTGTCTTTGAGGTAATGCTGGCAGGGATGAGTGTGTGGTGTCTTGCCCACAGATGATAAAAGGCAAGTTAACAAGAAACTGTGTGGTTCAGAAACCCTGCTCATGAGTATGGGTGTCCATGGAGTCCAACCGTTTCACTTCCTCTGATGGCACACTTCTGCAACGTGCAAACCTTCCAACTCAGTATTTTTAAGGGACATTGCTCAGTTTTAATTCTTAGCTTACCTACATGGGCCCTAATTTCTGTTCTGACCTCTTATCTCAGAATATCGGATGAGCAAGAAAGCCAGAGAGCCCGTGGTTTCCCTACACGTAAGCCTTGCGCATCTCTCCTCCAAGGCCGGTGCCCCACGCCGTGCGTGTTTATGAAAGCAGGGATGCCTCCATCCATCCTTCCCTCCCTCCCTTCCTAACCCCACCTCCCCAGCACGGCTGGAGGCGAGCGGGGCCGGGGCCTGCGGGGCCGGGCCGGCCCTCCCTAGCGCAGGGGCGGGCGGCAGCCCCAGTCCGCGGCGGGCACCGGCCCCAGCCCGCCGAGCAGCGGCCCCGCCGCCGCCGGTGCCGGCTTTTTGGCATCCCTAATCGCGGCTGGCCCCTGTGATTGGCTGCGCGGCTCTGACCCCGCTCGGGCTCCCGGCTGGGCGGATAAAAGGGGCCTGAGCCGGGGGCTCCCAGGCATTCCCGGAGCGGGCACCAGGGACCGCTGGCCGCAGCATGACGGGCAAAGCGGGCGCGGCGCTGGCCCCCAGCCTGCCCGGCAAGCCCAAGCCCGACGGCGCGGCCGCCGCCCCCGCCGCCCCGCCACTGCCTCCGCCGCCCCCCGCTGCTGGGGTCAAGTCCAACTCTGGGCCCACCCCTCCCCGCTGCACCGGCTTCGGCATCCAGGAGATCCTGGGCTTGAACAAGGAGCCGCCGTCGCACCCTCGGGCCGCCCTGGACTCTCTGCCCGCCGGGCACCTGCTGGCGGCCCGCTCCGTCCTCAGTCCCGCCGGGGTGGGCGGCGTGGGCATGGGGCTGCTGGGGGCCAGCGGCATCCCCGGCTTTTACACCCAGCCCACCTTCCTAGAGGTGCTCTCCGACCCCCAGAGCGTCCACCTGCAGCCGCTGGCCCGGGCCCCCGGGCAGCTGGACAGCAGCCAGACGGCCAGCTCAGGTAGGCACGGCCCCGGCCCCCGGGACCCGCTGCGCCCCGCCAGCACCGCCGCCCGCAGCCAGCCGCCGCCCGCACCCCGTGTCCCGGCGGGAGGCCCCTTGCTCGGCGGTGGAAGGGAGATTTCGTTTCGATCCCGAGAATGAGGAGAAGGGCGGGCGGGACCATATTTTTCCCCGTCCGGGACTGCGGCCGCGGTCTGATGGCGTGGCCCCGGGCGCCCGGCCTAGGGATGCGCAGAGCCCCGTCGGAGCGGCCCCCGCGACCCCGTGTTGCCGGATAATTAGGGGGTTTTCGGCATCCTTTGCCTAGACGGCAGCAGCCTCCCATAACTCTGCCTGCAGGCCCCGTTCCACGGCCGCTTCGGGTCCCTCAGAGCGGCCGGCAGCAGCGCCGGACCCGGGCTCCGGGGGCAATTCCCGGCCTCTCTCCGGCAGCGGCGCCCGTCCCGGGCCGTGCCCGCCGCCCCCGCCGCCGGGCAGCACGGGCCCGGGCCCGGGCCGGTGGCGCAGCGCCGCGGGCAGCACTGGCACCGGGGCGCGCATCGAAATACGGGGAAATACGGATCCGTGCCCCGGTTGCTCCTTCGGGGCAAAGGCAGAGGCGTCCTGCCCTCAACACCCCCGGGCCGTGGCATCCCTGGGGAGCCGGGGGCGGCGGAAGGCAGCAGCTCCTCCCGGGGCTGGTTTTTTCTGGTAGCTCCATAAACCTCAATTTCTGCCTCCTCGCTCCGGTGTTTCTGGGGCGCAGTTCGGGATCCCCGGGCTGGGCAGGCGGTCGCGGTTGCCCGGCCGCGGAGCGGGGGTTGCAGCTTTCCCGTTTCCTGCGCTTTGGTTGAGCTCGCCGGGCTCTGCGTTTTAGCAGCGAGGCAGCAGCAGCCTCAACAAACGACTCCGGCGGAGAGAGGCGAGAGCTAGAGCCCGGTCCCGGCCCGCAGCCTTCCCTGGCTGGGGCGCATCGCCCCGAGCTGCCCGGCCCGCAGCGGGAGCGGCGCTGGTGCCGCGCTGCAGGGAGCAGCCGGCGTCGGGCCCCGTCCGCCGCGCCGCCGCAACGAAATCTCCGGCCCGAGCCGGCGGAGGGAGCGGGGCCGCGGGCCTGGCCCTACCCGGCAGGACTCTGGCGGGGAGCGAGCCCCAGCCCACAGCCGCTGCCTGTCTTTCCGCAGATTCCGAGGATGTCTCCTCCAGCGACCGAAAAATGTCCAAATCCTCCCTAAATCAGAGCAAGAAACGAAAGAAGAGGCGGCACAGGTAAGACAGCGGCGGCCACCCCGCCCGCGCCTCAGTCCCCGGGGAAGCGGCCACCGGCGAGCCCTGCCCGCCCCGCGGGGACGGCCCGCTCCGGCCTGGAGCGAAACATTCCTCCGGCACCGGCCGCCCGAGCGCCCCGGCGGCTTCTCCAGCGCGTCCTTGCCTTTATTCTTTCTCCCCGTCCAAAATAAATCGGATATAGGGACGTGCCGATGGGGAGTGGGGGATTCGACCAGAGGTGTCATTTTATTGAATTTTTTCTGGTTGCGGATCCAGGTATCCCGGGTCGCAATCTGTGCAGCCCATGTGCTGCGGTGGAATGCCGATCATCAGTGTTTGGAAGGGAAAATCATCAAACTGTCAGAAATAATAAAAGCCGTTTTCAGCTCCACATACAGCAATCTTAATATTGGCTGTCAGGAAGACAGAATTTCTATCAATAATTTAAATATTTTATTACTTAGAAATAAATATTTTGCTAATAGATTAAATAATTGGGAATCAGAGACAGCCTGCAAAGAAGCTGAAGAAGCTGGGAAAATGTTTAAGGAAACGAAGATCCACTTTGGGATTTGGTTTCCTACGAGCACGGTCAGGGTAATAGACTTTGCCTGACTTCTCCCACAGTTAAAATGGAGTTGGTTTGTTTGCGCTTTATAACTGAAACGAAAAATCCCGTGCTGGGTTCTGGCATTGCTGTGGCCAGAGCGCCAGGACAAAGAAAGGCCAAACACCATCCAGGGTGATTTAGGAATAATTAAATCAATCCTGCCACGATGCAGGAAAGGTGGATTAAAAGACGCTCCAGTGAAAGCTTAGCAGGATGCGGGGTGGAAGGAGACTGACTATCCCGGGAGGCATCCTGCTATGTGTGCAACAGGAGGCTCGGTCTGGAGGGCTGCTTTCCAAAGCCGGACCCCTCCCCAGGCAAATGTTCTCAGTTTGGGCGCTCTGGAGTAAGTACGAGTTCATTTCCTTTGCACCCCAGGCGGGGCTGGGTGGTAACAGCTGGGACTGGTATACAGGTCCCGATCTGGATGAGAGATAGGAAACGAAATTCAGATTTGTTTTGTTTTCAGTTCTAGACAGAAACAGACCTGCAACATTTGTCCGTGGTTGAATATTCTGTTGTAAACAGTTAAGATCTCTAATTGTACCAAGGAAGGGCTGGAAGATGACTGGCCAATAGCCCGCAAATAGCTGCAGGATGGAAACACCAAAAGGGGTTGTGAACTGCAAAAGGGACGGGGACTACCCGGGCATGAGCTAAAACGGGGAAACTTCAGCTGAATGTCAGCGAAACCCTCCCGCCCGTGAGCCTGGACAGGCTCCCGTGCTCTTGTGGGAGGAAGATGGAGGGGAATGCTTGAAATCTAAACTGGATCAAAATTGAAATAATTTTTCCTGTGGTCGCAGAGAGAGAAAATACACGATTCGGTGTGCCTCTGCTGTCCCCAGAGTTCACAGATTTGTTATAGTTGAAGAAAAACTGTTTGAAAAGAGAATGGATTTAAGAGTGAATTTAAAGAAGGGTCTGATTGCAGGCAGGTCCCTTGCATTTGCATCCTGCTTTTGTTAGTATTATTATCGATCTGGTGGAATCCTTTTCATTTTGAATAGCAGAGGATGTTTCTGATATTTTGTGTTTATGCTCTCTGGAAATGAAAGGCTTTTCTGAAATTTGGGTGTATTTTAGAAAAAGACTCTATTTCCTCTTTCCTTCTGGGAGATACATGGTTTTTAGTTGATGGTAAATTTACACATTTACTTTGCACAAGGGCTGCAGTTCGTTGTTGGGTTGAGGATTGTTTTATTTTGGTTTGGTTTTTTGGTAGAGGTTTTTTGTTTGATTTGGCTTTTTGGTTGATTTTTTTGTTTTGTTTTTGTTTTGGTTCGGGTTTTTTGTTTGTTTGTTGGTTGGGGTTTTTTTTTGCCATTGCAGTATTTTTAGCTTTTATCAAAAATTGCGCTTTCTGTACTGGAGGAGTTGAAAGGTGGGAGTTTTAACCCTCAGGGAGTGGAAGTGGTCCGAGACTTCTCATCCATCTGCTAGGGAAAGGCTTTCATCTGTCTCGGCTTTCCAGCTGCTGATTTTTCAATTTGGTTGTCCCAAACTGAGAAGCGGCTGCGTGGAGGCAGGTTGGGCTGCTGCCTGCCCAGGGCGGTCCAGGAGGATTTCTAAAGGATAATGGGCTAATGCAAACTGGCAGGGAGCAGCTAACGAGATACTGGAGTGGAAGCAGCCCGGGTAAAGGCAGAGGAAGGGAGCTGGTCCTGGCTCTCATGGGGAAGAACTGGTGAAAAGTGGTGGGTTAGGGTGGAGAAAATATTTGGAGAATTTGTCCCAAGACTGAGACTCAAGGTGAAGGATTATTTTCTCTTGGAGATTGAAGAGGCTAAGGAGCAGCAGCTGGGAAAGGGCTCAGCACCTCTCCAGACGGGGTGCTGAGCAGATGCTGCCTGCTCTCGGTGTGCTGATCCTCACAGGAGGCGGCAGAGCCCGAGATCAGCTGCCAGCACTGCGGGTGCTTGCTGCTGGGGAGGCACTGTCTCCAGAGGCAAGTCCCTGAAAGGGAAGGTGATTTGTAACTGTTAAAAATGCTGTCTTCTGGCATTTTCTGGTTCTCCCTTCACCCTGGCACTTGACCTTTTGTGCACAGAAGCAGAGGAGGTGGGGAAAAGCTACGTATTAGCCAGTCACCCAGGTTTCAATGTCTTCAGTGTCCATTTCTCTGACTCTTCATCATCTTTGCTGCTTCTTGTGTTTTGATCAAAGAGTTTTACTCCCCTCAGGACAATCTTCACATCCTATCAACTGGAAGAGCTGGAAAAAGCCTTCAATGAGGCCCACTATCCTGACGTATATGCTAGAGAGATGTTGGCCATGAAAACAGAGTTGCCAGAAGACAGGATACAGGTAATCATATCTCTTGGACCCCCTTATTGTTCTGCTCTCAGCCATGTTCATCCCTCCATGAAGAAAAGGCAGCAGCATGGGAAAGCTGACATTTTTCTGAATAAACTTCCCCAGGCTGTCCACTCTCCTGCTTTTGATGGCAGGCAGATCAGATATTCTTGGCAGATTTGTATTTGGTGTTTGTATGTGGACGTGTGCTGTGCATGGTGTGTGGTACCAGTGATTTTGGGGGTGTGTAACAGGGGGGATCTGAATTCAGAGAAGGACAACAGGCACTCAAAAAAAGACAGTGTTTCAAGGTCTTGGTAAAAGCAAGAAGAGAGCTTCCCAGAGACCACATCTGGGTAGGCATTGCTGAAGGGAAAGAGCTCATCTCTGCTCCTTTGGCCACAGAAGGATGCACAGGGATGGCGTGGGCAGCTAGTACAGCTGTGGGTGGGATGCAGTGTGGGAATGATGGGTGAGTCCCAGCAAGATGTTTGTACCGCATCTGCACTTTGACTGTATTTGCCTCCTCAAGTGACATTTCCCTGAAAGTTTCTGGGGATAACTCTTTTTTTTTTTTTTGTTAATCTGTTAAATTTTATTAACAGCTTTTAACATTAAGGTTTGAGCTTCATGTCAGTCCTGTCATGCTACTGTGAGGAGGTAGAACAAGGGGGTGTGGAATACCACTGCTGTGTGGTGAATCCTCCAGCAGGAAGGAGCAGCCTGAGCTGCAGGGCTGGGCCAGGACCAGCCTTTGGCATGCATTACAGCCAGAAAGCTGGAGAAGACTTAAGAGCTGCTTTTTCCAGTGTGGGAGGCACACTGGACAGAGTTAAGGTGATGTTCACAAGGGTGGGCTGCAGCAGCTTCTTTTGCCTTGCTTTACTCCATGGTTTACTCTCATCAGGTTTCTACACAAGGCACAGGATTGTAATGGCCAAGCCTTGAGCAGGTGGAGTTCTGATCTGGCTGGAAGTTAACCTGTCCTGGTTCTCCACACAGTGGCAGTGGCTGGCCTCTGTGACTGGTGCACAGCAGTTTCTACAAGACATGTTGTCCTATGTGCCATGTGGTATTGGGAAGGTCCTGATTTCCCTGGTTCCTCCTTCTGCTCATCCCTCATGCATGCCCAGCACCCACCAAGCTGTGTCTTGAGCTTCTGCTCTTTCCTTGCTGAAGAGATGGCCCAGGAAGCTGCTCCCTTGTGGGTTTGGAATGTAGCTCAGAGGGCACTTAGCAGGATAACACCGATGCTGGAAGCTGCTGAGGTATGACCCCATGCAGGGACAGGAAGATCCTCCAAAACAAAAGTGTAGCCTTTTTTCCCTCTGTCCTGAGCCTTCCTCACCACCCTTATCCTTGTGCTCAATCAAAAATTCCATTTTTATAAAAGCAGTTCATGCTTCTTATCCCATTGACCTGGCAGGACTCCTGCTGATCCAACAGCTTGTAGATTACCTGTGTGCTAACAGGATTTCCACCAGTCTTCAGAAATAATGGCCCACCATCTCAAATCCTACCTGATGCACTAGGATTTTGCTCTGAGAAACAAACCCTGATGCTTTGCCTTTAGGAGGAGTGAAATGGAGGATGGTCACTTCTCCACTTGTGATCCTGCAGGACATCAGGTCAAGAGAGGAGGGATTGTTGGGAGTTTATTGTTGTCCACAGCCACAGTTTTGTTCTGGGCTGGAAAGAAGATCCTTTGATTTCCCATAAAAGACCTTTCCAAGGAAGAGGTTCATCTAGTGGCACAGTGTATGTGGAATTCCTGAGGCCCCATTTCTCTGGCCAGAGCTGAGAGCATTCACTCTGTGTGAGGTGGAGTGAGATGTGGCAGACAGCGTAGAGCTGACACAGCTTGTAAGGCTTCAGCACCTGGAACACCCTTCTAGTGCTGAGTGTTTTAACTGATTTGGAATGAAATAGCAGGTAAATATCTTGGCTGTCACTGACTGGTCTGCCCTGTAATTCTGCAGCTGGCTAATGAACAACTGCTTACTCTTCCTGTATTGCAGCTTTTAAACCCAGGAGGGCTCCTTACTGTGACCCCTCTGCTCTGAGATCAGGTTAGACTTGGGCAGCAGAAGCACCCCAATGCATGGCTGTTCTGAACACCAGGTGTAACTAATGGCATGTGTATTCCAGAAAAAAGGGATTGTGAATAACAGTTTTGCTGATGATGAAAGAGGAAATAATGAGAAACAGCAGAATTTCTGCAGCATCTGTTGAGCACCTTGCCAGGGTAGCATCAGGCTGACATAGGAGTCCTGAGCACCACTGCTCTTTCCAATAGGTCAGCAATCCATTGTCCCTTACCACACATTCCATGAAATCTCCTTGTCCATATTTCTTGTGTGTGACAAGCCATGGCAAGGTGATTCCCAACTCTGATCATACTTCTTGATATTTTACCTTGTATTCCTTTTCAACTTTGTGCCTTTTTGTTATGAGCCTAATTCTTTCCCCTTGGCTATAAAGTTCATGCTCTTTAAATAAATACAAGATATTTCTTCTCCTGGCTGTCACTTTTAGTTTTCATCATTGCTTAAGTAAGTTGCAAAGATCTTTCCTTAAATCATCCTTCATAAATCAGATGCTCATCTCTTAATCATGTGGTTGTTCTTACATGAAGCCCATCCTGTCTGTCAGCCTTCCTGGAGATAAGGGACCCCATGCCTACAGCTGCATGCTGGGTGTGTCCACACCAGTTCAGCTGGACTTGTGGTCCTTTGCAGAAGTAGTCTTGGATTAGCACTGGTCTGATTGCTTCCTTATTTATTTCCATTTATCTAATTCAATCACTTCAAACTTCTTTTAGACAGATTTTATTTTATGCTCAGGATTTTCCCTTCTGTGTTCTGGGTTTCATATGGAATTTTGTTAACTTTGGCTGACAAGCATCAAACAGCCCTACCAGCTCTGACAGTGGCAAGAGGTGGGTGCTACACAGGGCAGCTATCCAGTGATACTGTGCACTTTGTCAGTCTCCTGGGATTTTGAATACATGTAAATGTCTTAATATCCTGTGGCAAGAAGTTCTGCAGCAGAACTGCCTGAGTGCAGCAGATCTTGCTTTGAATCTCTCACCGTCATTTAATGCCCCTTGGAAGAGACAGCTTACAATGAATCTGCACTCCCATCTTCATAATATTTATAATTTCACATCACATTTTTTTCGTTGCATGAGTTTCCAGCTGCCTGAGGGAGCTCTATAGTTTTGCATTTCCATTGTAGCTTGTGGTTCCTCTCATCTTTCAGCAATGCTCTCTCCCTCCTGTAGGTCATTAATGAAAGTGTTTTCTAATATTGTTGTGAGCATCACATGTTGGGACTTCTGCAGCATTTCATGTGGTTTCCCACTGGATCCTCACCTAAGACTGATATCTGCCCCTTATTTTCATTCATGGAATTATTTCTCAGGAGGTATTAGTCAAAGAGAAAGTAAATCACCTATGAAATTTGATGTGAAAGTGAAATTCAAAGAGGGCAATTGAAAGAATGATATATAGGAACTGTTTGCAGATAAAGCCTTCAGCAGAACACTACAAATAGCCATCAGAGACCAAGAAAGTTACTGGTTTAAGAGAACATTGAGTCCAGGAAAAAAATATTCAAGCCCTCCATTTAAAGAGGATATGAAAGTGAATTTTTTTTCCCAAGGCAGACACACACTCTGTGTCTTACTCCCACACTGAGCTGGCTGCTTCTGGAAGGAAAACGAGCATCCTCCCATTGGGCAGCATGGGGAAATAATTTTTTATAATAGTGAGATACTATGCACAAGTCACATCAGATGTCACTGTGGCCATTTTGCAAGATACTTGAAAAAGACCACATTAATCAATGTATTTGAAAGAATATTCGTAGGACTTGAAGTGCCAGTATTGGAATAAACCCAGACTGTTCTGTAAAATCCAAGAGAGGTAAGTAGATTCCTGTACTTCCTGGGAAGTAGATCCTTTATAAACATTATGAAGTATTAAAAATGTCCTGAGGCAGACAAATACTGCGACATCTGACTTAAACTTCTCTTTCTCATAACAAATCTCTTAAGTGTAACATGTAGATTTTAGATTGAATTTATTAATACATAACAGTTCCAAAATTTAAACTGAGTAGTTACAATATGAAAGTTCAGTAACAGTTTGGTTTGGGGATTATTGAATTGATTGTGTATGTTTGTCCTTAAAGTATGTTTCCTACTGATCAAACAAATTGATTAATCAGTATTTCAAAAAAATAAGATCCTGACTGCTATTGTAGGGACATTAGAGTCACCTTTTAAGGGAAGTAATCAATTAAAAAAGGTAATAAAACTGCTAAAAAATTGTCAGTTCTTGTTGTTAAAAGATTGCATGGTAATCTTTTATTGGATTATTGGATGACAATTTTTGGGACAAATAAAATTGCTTACATAAGCAAAAGGAATCCCAAGAAGAGGCTGGCACTGAGTGCAGAGTGGGGATTGTCTGTGCATCCAGCAAGCTTTGTCAGGCAGCTAAGAGGCCAATTTTGGCTAAAAACAAAACAAGGTCAATTAAATCTCTAATTGAAAAAGTCTTGGTTTAGCTATCAGATTAGCACATTTCGGTATCACTGGGAAGCCCTTTAGGAGTTGAACAGGGGTGGAGGAATCAGGAGGAATAATCATTGAGAGGGAAGCAAGTACCAAGAGTATTTTGCAAGGACAGAGGCTTACCTTCCTTCAGTTTTGCAAAAAGGTTCTCTGTTTAGGGATGAACATAATCTGCCTGAGGAACCTGTACTGCACTGAGCGTGAGCTCAGGAGGGAACCCACTGAGTCCCCTCAAAAACATGATAGAAAGCATGAAGGAAAAATTAGTTGTATTCAGCTTTAGCAGCCGTGGCTTCTCCCTGTCCTGCCAGATTTTCCTGCCTGTTGCAGAGTGCTGAGGTATAGTCTGAATCCCACGGTGTGAGTATGGAATGCTGTGACTGCTCCATGCAGCCAGTGACCTTTCCTGAATGTGTGCCTGGAGTGGCCTCCA